GTGAGAGTGAGAGTGAGAGTGAGAGTGAGAGTGAGAGTGAGAGTGAGTGAGTGAGAGTGAGAGTGAGAGTGAGTGAGTGAGAGAGAGAGACAGAGAGAGAGAGAGAGAGAGTGAGAGTGAAGAGTGAAGAGTGGAGAGTGGAGAGTGAAGAGTGAAGAGTGAAGAGTGAAGAGTGAAGAGTGAAGAGTGAGTGAGTCAGTGAGTAAGTGTGAGAGAGAGAGAGAGAGTGAGAGCATTTGAGAGCAAAAAGTGGTGCGCCTGCCACGAAATCTGCACTCCGAGGTTCACAAAGTGCTGCGCGCCCCACAACATTTGCACTTGGAGGTTCACAAAGTGCTGCACCTGCCACGAAATCTACACTTTGAGGTTCACAAAGTGCTGCGCCTTCCACGAAATCTGCACTTCGAGTCCGGTCAAAAGCGAATATATTCTTTAGTAATGCCAAAGCAGATGAATTCTTCGTGTGTGCTCGCTGTCTTCAACGATGTGTGCAATTTCTTAGGTGGATCTCCTTGCTGGCTGTTTCCTCTCCAAATGCTCTGAGGAGGAAAGCATCCTTTTGAACTGCTTGTTTTTTGAATTATACCAAGCAACACGTCATTTCAGAAAACATGTCAAACTCGCCCCGCTGCAGCGAATTCCTCAGCAAACTGATGCACCCAGGCTTCTGAAGATCCTGGCCGTGTCTCGTCCATACCACTGGCCAGACATCATATTCAAGAGCTGCTTCAGGAACTGCAGGACCAGGGTCCAATTACATTTTGACTTGCTTTCATGCATCGTGTAAAGAATTCCCTGAGCCTGTTGGAGCAACACACTCAAACGTTCAGAACATCGTGCAAGGAGATTGTTTGGGGACGGAAAACTGCTTTGAAGACGGGCTTCTCACTGGAAGCAGTGCAGGTGCTGGGCCAAGAGGCAAGGCTTTGCCAGAAGCCAGGCAAAAACAGCAGTTTTTAAAGGTATAACTCCATAGATGTGGTAAGGGTGAAAGGCTTCACCCTTGTATTGAAGGTCAAAGAGCTCAAGAGCCTTGCTTTCAAACATCAAAATCAATACAGTTCCTCTTTTTGAGATACCAGAATGCATGTCTTGGAAATTCACTGTCAGAGGTTTGGATCTTCTTCTGGGAGTTGCATGGTCTTTACTGTTTGCTCTCTGCTCTCCTTCAACGGATTGAGATTTGTTTCGCAGCAGTGCAAGACTATGCAAGCTTTGTCAGCTTCCTTCCAGTTCATCAAGCTGCTCTCTTGGATTTGGAGCGGCTATTGCCACAGCTGCAAGCAGGCATCACCCAAAAGATCAAGGCATTGATGGCAGCCTATGAGGTCTTGCCACGCCCGTCAGCACCTCCGGGACGTGCAAAGTTCTTGGAAAAATGCCGAAGCCTTCTCCATCAGCTTAGACAAACAGAACTTCCCTGCAAAATGGCAACTGAAGCGCTCAGTGCAGTGACCCCACAAGCGACACTGAAGCAATTCCACCTTTGGAGGGACTCCGACCAGTGCTGGAGGCAGTTTGCACGGCTCCCGCTTGCAGCCCGTGCACTACTCAAGCCAGAGGAGCTGGATAAGTTGAAAGTTCATGCCCCTGGGTCAGAGCTTTTTCTTTCAATCATGTTGTTTTGATCGTATCATGATGGTGACAAACCATCTTGAACCTTTGACTTCCATTGGTGAGGCTATGCCCAAGTATCTTTGCGAACCAACAAGCCCAGCGAGTCATGCACTTGATGACCCGCCAGACTTTCGCACAATCCACTTGGACGAGGAAGTAACAGCGGATGGGATGAGCCTCAGGAGTTTTGTCGACGAAGCTTAGATACCTTTTTTGGCATGCCTTCTTGTGTGTGTGTTTTTTTGCCTTGGCTATAGCGCAGTTCGCAACAAAAACGATTGCTGTGTTTACCATTTGACCCTTTGCAAGTGGCATTTTGTCATTAGCCTCCTCAAACCCAGTGCAATGTTTTGATGCTTTCAGGGCTAGCAATCAAGGAAGATACGCGTCTTCACCAAGCTGTGTGCAAGCTTGCTCTCGCAGGGCAAAGTATTGGCCACAATGCATGGGAGGGAGCACGACATACCGCTGCCTTCATCAATGATAGGGCAAAACATCTATTCCCGCACGAAAAGACACACGAACTAGCACCTGTGAGCTGTGCTAGATTTGCAGAGCTTGTGGACGTGTTCCGCAAAGCCACAGGAACACCAGCTAGATTGCCTTACACGAACTTCCAAGATATGGAATGGATTGTTTTGGATCGTCAAGGGAAAGAAGTGGACACCTTGTCCACATCGGAATTCATGTCAGAGACAGCCCAGACAGATTGGGCGTCTGAAGCCGAGTTTAGTCTTAGCAACTGAGTCAGCTTAAAAGCCTTTGAGCCTTGACTTAAACAGACCAAAACAGGCTTGCATTCTGGTGGTATAAGTTTCAGTGGACATGCGAAAGTTGAACAGGAGCTAAACGAACCCTTCCGCACCGCAGGTTGAAGACATGCCCAAACATCGTTGCATGCCTGGGCGTATCGTTTACACGGCCACTACCCCAGAGTTACCAGTTCCATTTTGATCATAAACCTCGTCAGTCTGTCGGTAGGACACCGACTAGCAACTTTCTGTCAAACTACTGTAACAGTTGTAGAGTTTAGGAGTTGGTGATTAGAGTGCTAATGAAATTTGTTGGACACTTGAGATTTCCATGGAACAGTGTGAGAGACTTGTGAATATTTGCGAACTCAAGACTAGTGAGACATTGGTTTATTGTATTCAGGACTACTGTATCTATCATGATTTTGTAACCTGGACGAACATAGGATTTGTATCCAGCTGGCCTGTTTTTGCCGCACAAAAACCAAATCCAGGTTCTGCTGCGGTGCAGCTGCCAAACTGGACGACCAGCGCTGGTGCCTTCGAAGCAGTTTGCCACACCAACAGGCTTTCCAACACAGATAGAAATACTTCTCAATACATAGACTGAATAGAGGGGAATTGAGTTTTATGTCAATGGAAGGATGTATAGAGTATAGATGACGTTTCTTATTCGGTGACTTTTATCCGGCACTGTGCATTTGAGATGCCATATTTGAGCCAACCCATTTGAGTCTTAGTGAGTCCTTGCAAGGTTGTGTCCAATGGCAGTGGCAGAGTTTGGCTGAGGCTCAGGCTACTCAGCTCTTGATCGATTTGTCGCGGAAGAACTCCAAGTTGCCTGATCAGGCGAGAGTTGTTGGGAGGTGGCAAGCCTCAATATCAATAAATTGCAGTTGTAGCCAGGCATGCCCTGCGCTTGTGCAAGCAGCAAACCAACAAATAGTTTTTGCTTACTTTATTTTGGCTTGGGCTTGCGACCACCTGCTAAAGAAAGCCTTATGACCATCAACGTTGCAGGCAAGCATTTGGAAGCTCCTTCCTCTCTATTATATACATACACTTGTTTTGCATTCCACATTCTTTGTTCTTGCTTTTGGGGTGCATACACTTTAGTGTAAGAGTTATTTATGAAGGCAGTATAGCACTTTCCACAAAGCAATGCCCAAAATCTAGGAACCACATCATCAAGCCTGAGCCCTTCTGCGTCCAAGTCACAGAAGCTACTTATATAAGCTATTACTTGCCCCCAACTACTAGCTTACTACGGCCCCTGGCAAAAAAAAAGTGGTGCCTGGAGGGAGCTTCGTTGAAGAACCTGAGCCCCACTTGTGTCCTTGCTACGCAAAGCTTCCACACTGTCGGTAGGTTACTCAAAAAACCCGATTCATGGCCTTGCTCCTTCTTTAAGAAAGTACTTCAAGGGAAGTGTTCTTGTGTTGAACGAAGATGTTCTCGTGTTGATCGTGGCCCATCAGGTGATGGTGTCTTCTTTGCTCTCTGCTTGCGTTCAGCATAGCGACTTCGACTCCATTTCACGGCTAGGCCTTGGAGCGTTTTGCACAGGAAGTGTTCAGATAGGGAGGACATTCGAAATATCATCCTTTTGCAGCTACTTGAGGGAGTTGCGGGCCAACCGTGTCACCAAAATTTTCAGAACTTTCAGAGAAGCTCTGGGCGATTCTTCTTGGCAGTCCGAGACTTTGCCACGGGATCACGACGAAATGCAAGGCCCTCAGAGCTCCAGAGCAGCTCTTCTTTACGTTAGGAATTGCAGAATTACTATTTTCATATCAGAAATTAACCCTTGCAACCGCAACTTGGGAACCTTTGCTCAAAGCCCTGCTATGGATCAACAGCCCTCTTCCAGCACTCACATATGGGCTAAGGTTGGTTTTGAGAGCTTGAAACACTGCTTTGAGGCTTGACTTTTTGAGACGTAGCTATCTAAACCCATCCGAAATGTGCATTGGCAATAGCATATGCTGGATAGAAGATTGGCAAGGATGTGAGAGAGTGTTATTCTTCTAAAGTTTTGAGAGATACGTGCAGAGAGATGGAGACTGAGGCAACGACTTTGCGCAAAACAGAGCAACTCATTCAGTGACAATTTGACCAGGTATACGACATTATGAGCCATGATTTATGCCATACCTTTCATCATTTCATCTACTGCAGCACTGAGACAAGTTTCCCACCCTGCTCTTCTATAGTCACTTGTACAGGGCGTATCTTCTTTCCTCCATCCCCCAAGAGAGCGCAGCGCAAGCTGTATGTAGTGTTGAAGCCTTGAGCAAGTCGTGCGCAAGCCATGCGGAAGCTGTCTGACTGTATTGATGATTATTGATGAATGTTGTGATTACAACATAGATAACTACTGTATAATTTTTGCATTGTGAATGAGCTTGATTTCGACAAAGAAATTCATTTTTCTGGGAGTGCATGGACTGGAAGCGCAATCACTATTGCAAATTTCCTATCGTTGGTTGCTGTATCTCTGATTATGCCGCTGTAGACGTACTTTTGCAATTGCTTGTGATCACGAGGTTTTGTTCGCTACTATGTTCAGTTTTCCTTCCTGCGGAAGCAACTTGTTGGCCGGTCCCCCCCAAACTTCAGATTTATGCGCCACCGTGTCCTGATGCAACGCAGACCTGCTTGCAAGCTGCGTCTGATTCCTTTTGCACTTCTAGATGTGTGCTGAAAGAGCCGAAGAGTCTATCATTTGTTGTTCCCACCAAAAGGTTCTCTAGAAGAAACTGGGAAACTCTTTTTTACTAGGGGAGAGAGGCTTCTTACTTTTGTGATGTCAACATTAGTTTCCGAAGAAACGATCGTTTTGGAAGCATAGCCCTAGTTCCCCAAACAGTGTGGTCAGGGTTAAGACTGGGTTTGATCGAGTTGCTCGCATCCGTGTCCCGCTAATTCGCTGCTTTTTGTGGTACATTCATTCGCCTCGCGATCTTCGAAGTGCATTTCGACTGCGCAGGCTCGCTGAAACTCACCGCCCCAAGAGCGTGCTCTTGTCGACTGTGCTCTCGCTGTGGGTGCATGGTGGTGACTTTTCGCGGCAGGCGCAAGGGGAGCCTTGTGTTGTAGTAGTGGTCTCAAGTCGACTTAGTGGCATGCGCAGGAGATAGGATGTTGTCTTTGGAACTGCTTTTGTTGCGGCTCTTTGTGCACCTCGAAGTGCAGATTTCGTTGCAGGAGCAGCGCCTTGTGAACCTTGAAGTGCAGATTTCGTGGCAGGTGCAGCACTTTGTGAACCTTGAAATGCGGACCTGATGGGAGGCGTCGCGTTTTGTGAGCCTCAAAGTGCAAATTGTGTGGCAGGCGCAGGGCTTTCTCTGAGCCCCGGCGTGCAGATTTCGCAATGTGGATGCTCGTAAAATTGCTCTCACATTTGTGCTCCTGCAGGTGTGCTGTTTTGCCTGTGGTCTCCTATGTGTGCTCATTCATACCTGTGCCCTCATATGTGTTTGCTTTCATATGTGTGCTCGGTCATGCCCGTGAACTCATATGTGTGGTCTCATGCGCTTGCTGTGCGTATGTGTGTGCACAGGGGTGCTGTTTAAGGTGTGTTCTCAAATGTGGGCTCGCTCGTACATGTGCTCTGATGCGTGCGTGCTCTCATGTGCTTGGTCACATATGTGACACACTCATGGATATGCGTATGCCGATGAGAGCGCATATAATATTAAACCGCCCAAACAAAACCACATGTGAGAGCGCGCCCAAAAAAGGATTTGTGTGAGAGAACACACATGATAACACAAATATGAGAATAGGCATTTGAGAGCACGCATATCTCATTACACGCAGATATGTGAGCAAACGCGTGAGAGCACACATATGAGAGCACAGGTATGAGCGAACAAACACATGAGAGCACACGGGTGAGAACACACAATGACAGCACACATATGAGGCCAGAGGTATGAATGAACACATATATGACAGCACACACACATGAACACACACACATGAAGGCACACATAGGGGGCAATCACACGAGAGCACAACATGTACGAACGTTTGCCCAGATAGTTTTTTTGTTTGTTGTAGATGATGTTCCTTTGGGTGGGCCCTGCAATGTGAGACACCAACAAATTGTTTAGTGTTGTCACACGCTGAGGAAAAAACGCGGGTGTAAACCCGAGGCAAACAAACCACCCATGAAACCATGGCACATATATATATATATAAAACACTTGGCCTTGAGGACGGTAAGGTCTGGGTCTGTCCGATTGGGTTCTGTCAGTGCAAAGGCTTTGGGGAGCCTCAATGAGGAGTTGGGCCAGGAGCTGCTTGAGAGCCTTGGCTGAACTCCTTGCTTGTTTCAGGAACTCTCTCCTTAGTACTCCTTAGCTGCATCAGGTTCGTCCGTAGCCGATTTCCAGCTTCTCATGCGTCGATGCTCGAGGCCAGTGTACTATCTTTACACTAAAAGAGAGGGGCAAAAGCAGGTGAGGACTCTTAGAAGGGACCTTATTGAAGAGGCCTTACCTGCATTTATTTACTCTGTTTAGTTGGAACCGAGATTCTCGCATGACTAGGCAAGTGAGTGAGTTGAAATTCCACCGTTCCTGGAAGGCAGCTTTAGCTGCAGGCAAAGAGCATCCGGGTACATCCTGCGCTGTTGATTTCAGACTTAAGGTTTCAACAGACAAGCAAAGTAGGGGGAGTTCGCTCACCGTGCTTTTGCCAGGCTGGTCATCGGTCGGGTCCCCAGAACTCATTGCTCAATCGCGCACTTCAAATTAACAGCACAAGTAGATACCAAAAAACGCAATAGGTGACCCCAAGCAGACTATTCTGTTCTCTTTAATGAAGTTAAACAGGTTCCCAGGGTTGTGATGCACATTCATTTGCCATTCGCATGCAGTAGGGTATACAGGATCCATTGGCAGCAGCTGAACAGCCCAGTTAAAAGTGAAAAGACTTGCTGTGAGGCTTTCTCTCATCATCTAAGCTCAGAATCTGGCAGGTTTTCT